GTTACTTACGTGTCTGTGGTGGCCAGGGTGTAAACAAACCTGGTCGCTGCATCATTAGAGTCAAACAACATTTCTTTTTGGTAAGATTTTCAGTAATATTTTTATACAAATGAAAGACTAACCAAGCGATGGAATTTTAGAAAGAGATAAACTAAGAGTCCATGAAGATTTGGAGAAATGGCTACTCATATATACTGTTAGAAGTAGCATGAATTGGTATCATCATTTGGAAAAAGTTTGACGTATTTATGATAATGAAAGATATGCCCCCTTCTAGTCTGCTCACAGAAGTGCGTGCTGGTGCTATTCCAAAACCATTGACAAAAATACTCAAAGCACCATTACTTGAGATAGACACAATTATATTAAAAGTAACTCTGGCAAGGTACAGTGGCTCATGCTTATAATCTGAGGACTTTGGGAGGCTGAGGTGTGCAAATTGCCTGAGGTCAGGAGTGCGTGACCAGCCTGACCAACATGGTGAAACCCTATCTCTATCAAAATACAAAAAAATTAGCCAAGCGTGGTGGTGAAGCCTGTAGTCCCAGCTACTCGGGAGGCTGAGGCAGAGAATGGCGCCGAACCCGGGAGGCAGAGCTTGCAGTGAGCTGAGATCACACCACTGCACTCCAGCCTGGGCGAGACAGCGAGACTTTGTCTCAGGAAAAAAAAATAAAAAAAAGAAAAAGTCTAGAACTTAAGTGATGAATATCAACTTAGAGAACAAAACCGAAGCCAAAGTTTTGAAGATAGGAAATAGTGTGATACTATCTTTTTGTGAGGAAGGAACTATTGGCTTCTCCAAAAGGTAGAGAACTGGGAGAGAGAAACCTCATCAGAATCTGTGACTGAGTTGGAACTGGAGGCTGAAATATGCTCAAGGTCAAACATTCCTCCTCCCTTCAAGGAGACTGAGTTTTACCAGTGAGCCCAGCGTGAGATATTCACTCCGCCATCCACCCCAGGAGATCCCTTACAAACCAGGAGCACACAGTGAGGATAGAAACATGAACATGCACTAACAAGCCCTGAAAGTTCAGGAGTGACTCTTGATTTCCCCTTGGCACACAGCAGAAGAACTGTTTCTCTAGGTTCCAGTACCTGTGAGAGAGCTGTGTCCCCCAGAGTCCCTTCATCACAGATGACACCCAGTGCTCAGGCCAACACCCCTTGTGCACAATCCCTAGGAGTGCTGACTAATCCAAACCAAAGGTTCTGATGTTCCACAGGCAGAAAGAGCAGGTGGACTGCAAGAGAATCTCATGAGCAGCAACCCCAAAAGCCCATGGAGACAGTTCTTACCATGATGCCAAGAAACTCTGGAAACAACAAGCCAGACCTCACACATATTTCCATTTTCTTTCGGATTTCATACCCCCTCCTTCAGCCCCTCCTCACAAGCAGCAAGGATAACCTGGAGGCTCCTGGGAACCTTTTCCCATTGGGTTTTTCCTGGCACGTAGTTCCCTACCTGGATGAGTCTCCTCGTCACTTATATTCTCCAGCGTCAAGTCTTTAGAAAGAAAAACACCAGGATAAGTCATTAGAGAGAGTGACTCACCCGCTCCTCCTACTTTAGCTGAAACTGAATGATGGGGCTTTTCTCACCCCACGCTGCTTCATACATAGTCCCACTCATCTTTCTTCTGGGTTGACAAACCTCCCTACAGCTTCTCGGGCCAGAGTTCTATACTGGAAAATTCACTTTCAGGAGAACCCCAAGCCTCTTTCCCAGCAGGAACCGAATCAGGTTTCCATACACCGAAGCTATGATTTTCCCTCCCAGGTAGAGTTGATTTCATAGTATACCGTTTTCATTCAAAGCTGTTCCCTGCAATTATATAAAAGAAAACATCGTGAGAATCAGATTCTGCTGTGCGCTTCACATAGATCTGTTATTCTCTGGACAACGATAAAAAACCAGAAGGTGGTACAGTGATTGAACCATAGGTCAAAGTCCCCAAAGCCTAGCACAGAGGATACTTATAGAAAAACAATACCTTAATTCACAGATTAGATCTGTTATTCTCTGGACAACGATAAAAAACCAGAAGGTGGTACAGTGATTGAACCATAGGTCAAAGTCCCCAAAGCCTAGCACAGAGGATACTTATAGAAAAACAATACCTTAATTCATAGAATTTACCTTTAATTTTATATTCAAATGCACAATGCTTAATCCAAGGAGGAAAAGTGGTATTGTGGAAAATGCCTCAGCATTCCAGGCATACTGGATGCTGTCATTGAAAAGCACCCTAGCAGACCATGTATCAGTTGGGAAGACACGCCTACTGAATTCCAGCCCCACAAAGAGAATAGTGTACAGTGTACAGAATGTGCATTGCCAGATTTTCATATCAAAATTAACTGAGAAGTCAAGCAATCAGGAAAGCAACATTGCTGTAAAAGACAAAAAAGGGGAGTCTTACCTGGACATCATTATTATCATTAGCATCTTCTTTCTCTTCTTCTTCATCTTTGCGTTGTGGTGAGCCTCTTAAAAACAGGCCATCCTCAGGACAATGAGCTGGAAGGACACAGAAGGAAGATCAGTGCACTCAGTGGTTGGTGACTGAGTCACTCCAGGGAGCTTTGCTGGATGTGGTGTATGGAGTGGTTGACAAGCATGAACTGACTTGATGTGGGCTATTCCCACAAGTGGGAGGAGGATGGCAGAGAAGGGGAGCAGGAAGAGACCACCACTGAGACATGAGGGGCGTCGGCTGAAGTACTAGAGCATAGACAGCAACACAAAACAGACAACCCCAAATGGGATCAGAAGTCATACTGAGGGTCAGTGGAAGGTACCTTTCTCCAGCTCAAATGTTTTGGAAACTCTTCAAAACAAACATTTCTTAACGTATTGGAACCTTCAGTACACTGAGATCCAATTACCTCCCAGCAATGCACTTTAAGGCAGCATCTGTTTTAAAGGATTTATTACTTGATTAAAAGCCAATGTTGTGGTGCTGATGGACTCAATTTTACCCAAATTACTCTATTCTATTAGTCACACATTCTTTTTCACTTAGAGATCATTTAAAACTTCAATGTTAAAATTGTGAACAAAATAGTCATGATTTCCTCTTTGTAAGTCTTCTTCTGGAACCACTTCCACACACCCTTTTGGACCCCTGTGATCAGGCGCTCCAGCGCTCTGTGTGACTCTCCTGAGGAGATTCCACAAAAATCAGGCTTCATTCAAACAGGCCAATCTCACCCACAGCCTACTCTCCGAGTGGGAGAGGGATGGCAGAGAAGGGGAGCAGGAAAGACACGAGACATGAGGGCGTCGGCCTCGTACTAGAGGCATCAGGCAGCAACACAAAACAGACAACCCCAAATGGATCTAAAATGCATACTGAGGGTCAGTGGAAGAGTGCCTTTCTCCCGCTCAAATGTTTTGAAACTCTTCAAAACAAACAGCATTTTCTTAACGTATTCAAGACCCTGTCAGTACACTAGGATCCAATTACGCTGGTACTACATTTAGCATCTGTTTTAAAGGATTTATTACTTGATTAAAAGCCAATGTTATGGTGAAATGGACTGAATTTTACCCAAATTACTCTATTCTATTAATCACACAGTCTTTTTCATAGAGATCATTTAAAACTTCAATGTTAAAGTGCTGCAATTAAAAATAGTCATGATTTCCTCTTTGTAAGTCTTCTTCTGGAACCACTTCTACACACCCTTTTGGACCCCTGTGATCAGGCGCTCCAGCAGCTCCTGTGTGACTCTCCCTGAGGAGATTCCCTAAAAATCAGGCTTCATTCAAACAGGCCAATCTCACACAGCCTGCTCTACCTACACCAGTGAAGCTGAGAGACATGACTCTGAACACTTTCTGCCATGAGGATAAGCTTTCAGGTTCAAATACATATTATCTACTGAAGTGAGGAAATGTATACCAGTAGAAATGAATGAATTCAGGAAAAAATGTTCATGAGTACGGGGGTGATTTTTGGTTAACTACCTTACGTAAAAATTATTTTTTTGGCTGAGCACTCTGGCTCACACCTGTAATTCCAGCACTTTGGGAGGCGGAGGTGGGCGGATGACCTGATGTCAAGAGTTCACGACCAGCCTGGCCAACATGGTGAAACCCTGTCTCTATCAAAAATACAAAAAAATTAGCCAAGCGTGGTGGTGAGCAACTGTAGTCCCAGCTACTCGGGAGGCTGAGGCAGAAGAATGGCGCGAACCCGGGAGGCAGAGCTTGCAGTGAGCTGAGATCACACCACTGCACTCCAGCCTGGGCGAGACAGCGAGACTTTGTCTCAAGGAAAAAAAATAAAAAAAAGAAAAGTCTAGAACTTAAGTGATGAATATCAACTTAGAGAACAAAACCAAAGCCAAAGTTTTGAAGATAGGAAATAGTGTGATACTATCTTTTGTGGGAAGGAACTATTGGCTTCTCCAAAAAATTAGAGAACTGGGGAGAGAAACCTCATCTCAAATCTGTGACTGGGTTGGAACTGGAGGCGACCCTGCTCAAGGTCAAACATTCTCCTCCCTTCAAAGGAGACGGAGTTTTACCAGTGAGCCCAGGCGTGAATATTCATCGCCATCCACCAGAGATCCTTTAAACCAGGAGCACAGTGAGGATAGAAACATGAACATACACTAACAAGCCCTGAAAGTTCAGGGGTGACTCAGCAGTTCCCCTTGGCACACAGCAGAAGAACTGTTTCTCTAGGTTCCAGGAAATGCCTGTGAGACAGCTGTGTCCCCCAGAGTCCCTTCATCACAGATGACACCCAGTGCTCAGGCCAACACCCTTGTGCACAATCCTAGGAGTGCAATAATCCAAACCAAAGGTTCAAGTGTTCCACAGGCAGAAAGAGCAGGTGGACTGCAAAGAGAATCTCATGAGCGCGGCAACCCCAAAGCCCATGGAGACAGTTCTTACCATGATGCCAGAAACTCTGGGAAACAACAAGCCAGACCTCACATATTTCCATTTTCTTCAGTTCCCATACCCCTCCTTCCAGCCCCTCCTCACAAGCAGCAAGGATAACCTGGAGGCTCCTGGGAACCTTTTCCCATTGGGTTTTTCCTGGCACGTAGTTCCCTACCTGGATGAGTCTCCTCGTCACTTATATTCTCCAGCGTCAAGTCTTTAGAAAGAAAAACACCAGGATAAGTCATTAGAGAGTGACTCACCAGCTCACTACTACTTTAGCTGAAACTGAATGATGGGCTTTTCTCCCACCCCACGCTGCTTCATACATGATCCCCTCATCTTTCTTCTGGGTTGACAAACCTCTACAACTACTCGGGCCAGAGTTCTATACTGGAAAATTCACTTTCAGGAGAACCCCAAGCCTCTTTCCCAGCAGGAACCCGGAATCAGGTTTCCATACACGAGAAGCTAGCAAGTTTTCCCTCAGGAAGTGAGTTATTTCATGGTACATACCGTTTTCATTCCAAGCTGTTCCCTGAAATTATATAAAAAGAAAACATCGTGAGAATCAGATTCTGCTATGCGCTTCACACCAGATCTTCTGTTATTCTCTGGACAACGATAAAAAACCAGAAGGTGGTACAGTGACTGAACCATAGGTCAAAGTCCCCAAAAGCCTAGCACAGAGGATACTTATAGAAGAGCAATGCAGCAATTCACAGAATTTACCTTTAATTTTATATTCAAATGCACAATCCTTAGTCAAGGAGGAAAAGTGGTATTGTGGAAAATGCCTCAGCATTCCAGGCATACTGGATGCTTGTCATTGAAAAGCACCTAGCAGACCATGTATCCAGTTGGGAACCGCCTGCAATTCCAGCCCCACAAAGAGAACCCAATTGTACAGTGTACAGAATGTGCATTGCCAGATTTTCATATCAAAATTAACTGAAGTCAAGCCAATCAGGAAAACAACATTGCTGTAAAAGACAAAAAAGAAGTCTTACCTGGACATCATTATTATCATTAGCATCTTCTTTCTCTTCTTCTTCATCTTTGCGTTGTGGTGAGCCTCTTAAAAACAGGCCATCCTCAGGACAAACTGGAAGGACACAGAGGAAAGATCAGTGCACTGGTGGTTGGTGACTGAGTCACTCAGGGAGCTTTGCTGGATGTGGTGTATGGAGGTGGTTGACAAGCATGAACTGACTTGATGCTGGGCTATTCCCTAATTGGGAGAGGGATGGCAGAGGGGAGCAGGAAAGACCACCTGGCGAGAGACATGGGGCGTCGACCACCGTGCTAGAAGCATCAGGCAGCAACACAAAACAGACAACCCCAAATGGATCTAAAATGCATACTGAGGGTCAGTGGAAGAGTGCCTTTCTCCGCTCAAATGTTTTGAAACTCTTCCAAAACAAACAGCATTCTTGCGTATTCAAGACCACTTCAGTACACTAGAGCCAATTATGGGTACTACAGGTACATCTGTTTTAAAGGATTTATTACTTGATTAAAAGCCAATGTTATGGTGAAATGGACTCAATTTTACCCAATTACTCTATTCTATTAATCACACATTCTTTTCATGAGATCATTTTAAAACTTCAATGTTAAAGTGCTGCAATTAAAAATAGTCATGATTTCCTCTTTGTAAGTCTTCTTCTGGAACCACTTCCTACACACCCTTTTGGACCCCTGTGATCCAGGGCGCTCCAGCAGCTCTGTGTGACTCTCTCCTGAGGGAGATTCCCTAAAAATCAGGCTTCATTCAAACAGGCCAATCTCACACAGCCTGCTCTACCTACACCAGTGAAGCTGAGAGACATGACTCTGAACACTTTCTGCCATGAGGATAAGCTTTCGGAGTTCAAATACATATTATCTACTGAAATGAGGGAAATGTATACCAGTAGAAATGAATGAATTCGGAAAAAATGTTCCATGAGTACGAGGTGATTTTGATTTAACTACCTTACGTAAAAATTATTTTTTGGTGAGCACTCTGGCTCACACCTGTAATTCCAGCACTTTGGGAGGCGGAGGTGGGCGGATGACCTGATGTCAAGAGTTCACGACCAGCCTGGCCAACATGGTGAAACCCTGTCTCTATCAAAAATACAAAAAAATTAGCCAAGCGTGGTGGTGGGCGCCTGTGGTCCCAGCTACTCGGGAGGCTGAGGCAGAAAGAATATGGCCAGCGAACCGGGAGAGCAGAGCTTGCAGTGAGCTGAGATCACACCACTGCACTCCAGCCTGGGCGAGACAAGCGAGACTTTGTCTCAGGAAAAAAAATAAAAAAGAAAAGTCTAGAACTTAAGTGATGAATATCAACTTAGAGAACAAAACCAAAGCCAAAGTTTTGAAGATAGGAAATAATTGATACTATCTCTTTTTGTGGGAAGGAACTATTGGCTTCTCCAAAAATTAGAGAACTGGGGAGAGAGAAACCTCATCCCAGAATCTGTGACTGGGTTGGAACTGGAGGCTGGAAATATGCTCAAGGTCAAACATTCCTCCTCCCTTCAAAGGGGGCTGGAGTTTTACCAGTAGGCAAGCGTGAATATTCACTCCGCCATCCACCCCAGGAGATCCACTTCTAAACCAGAAGACACACAGTGAGGATAGAAAACATGAACATGCACTAACAAGCCCTGAAAGTTTGAGAGGGTGACTCTTGATTTCCCCTTGGCACACAGCAGAAGAACTGTTTCTCTAGGTTCCAGGAAATGCCTGTGAGCTGTGTCCCCAGAGTCCTTCATCACAGATGACACCCAGTGCTCAGGCCCAACACCCCTTGTGCACAATCCTAGGAGTGCTGACTAATCCAAACCAAAGGGTTCTGATGTTCCCACAGGCAGAAAAGAGCAGGTGGACTGCAAGAGAATCTCTCATGAGCAGCAACCCCAAAGCCCATGGAGACAGTTCTTACCATGATGCCAAGAAACTCTGGAAACAACAAGCCAGACCTCACACATATTTCCATTTTCTTTGGTTCATACCCCCTCCTTCCAGCCCCTCTCACAAGCAGCAAGGATAACCTGGAGGCTCCTGGGAACAACTTTTCCCATTGGGTTTTCTGTACGTAGTTCCCTACCTGGATGAGTCTCCTCGTCACTTATATTCTCCAGCGTCAAGTCTTTAGAAAGAAAAACACCAGGATAAGTCATTAGAGAGAGTGACTCACCCGCTCCTCCTACTTTAGCTGAAACTGAATGATGGGCTTTTCTCCCACCAACTGCTTCATACATGATCTGCCCCTCACATCTTTCTTCTGGGTTGACAAACCTCCCTACAGCCTAGGGCCAGAGTTCTATACTGGAAAATTCACTTTCAGGAGAACCCCAAAGCCTCTTTCCCAGCAGGAACCGAATCAGGTTTCCATGCGAAGCTAGCAAGTTTTCCCTCAGGAAGTGAGTTATTTCATGGTACATACAGTTTTCATTCAAAGCTGTTCCCTGCAATTATGTAAGAAAACATGTTGAGAATCAGATTCTGCTGTGCGCTTCACACAGATCTGTTATTCTCTGGACAACGATAAAAAACCAGAAGGTGGTACAGTGATTGAACCATAGGTCAAAGTCCCCAAAGCCTAGCACAGAGGATAGCTATAGAAAAACAATACCTTAATTCATAGAATTTACCTTTAATTTTATATTCAAATGCACAATGCTTAATCCAAGGAGGAAAAGTGGTATTGTGGAAACGAAATGCCTCAGCATTCAGGCATACTGGATGCTGTCATTTAGCTTCCCCTAGCAGACCATGTATCAGTTGGAAGACACGCCTACTGAATTCCAGCCTGAAGAGAATGAGTGTACAGTGTACAGAATGTGCATTGCTCCAGTTTTCATATCAAAATTAACTGAGAAGTCAAGCAATCAGAAGCTTAACATTGTAAAGACAAAAGGGAATTACTGGACAAATCATTATTATCATTAGCATCTTCTTTCTCTTCTTCTTCATCTTTGCGTTGTGGTGAGCCTCTTAAAAACAGAGCCATCCTCAGACCAAACTGGAAGGACACAGAGGAAAGATCAGTGCACTGGTGGTTGGTGACTGAGTCACTCGGGGAGCTTTGCTGGATGTGGTGTATGGAGGTGGTTTGACAAGCATGGGAACTGACTTGATGCTGGGCTATTCCCCTGAGTGGGAGAGGGATGGCAGAGAAGGGGAGCAGGAAAGACACGAGACATGAGGGCGTCGGCCTCGTACTAGAGGCATCAGGCAGCAACACAAAACAGACAACCCCAAATGGATCTAAAATGCATACTGAGGGTCAGTGGAAGAGTGCCTTTCTCCCCGCTCAAATGTTTTGAAACTCTTCAAACAAACAGCATTTTCTTAACGATATTCAGAACCACTTCAGTACACAGAGCCAATTATGCTGGTACTACATTTAGCATCTGTTTTTAAAGTTTATTACTTGATTAAAAGCCAATGTTATGGTGAAATGGACTCAATTTTACCCAGTACTCTATTCTATTAATCACACATTCTTTTTCACTTGAGATCATTTAAAACTTCAATGTTAAAGTGCTGCAATTAAAAATAGTCATGATTTCCTCTTTGTAAGTCTTCTTCTGGAACCACTTCTACACACCCTTTTGGACCCCTGTGATCAAGGGCGCTCCAGCAGCTCTGTGTGACTCTCCTGAGGGAGATTCCCTAAAATCAGGCTTCATTCAAACAGGCCAATCTCACACAGCCTGCTCTACCTACACCAGTGAAGCTGAGAGACATGACTCTGAACACTTTCTGCCATGAGGATAAGCTTTCAGGTTCAAATACATATTATCTACTGAAATGAGGGAAATGTATACCGAGTAAAAATGAATAGATTCAGGAAAAAATGTTCATGAGTACGGGAATTTTGGTTTAACTACCTTACGTAAAAATTATTTTTTTGGCTGAGCACTCTGGCTCACACCTGTAATTCCAGCACTTTGGGAGGCGGAGGTGGGCGGATGACCTGATGTCAGAGTTCACGGCCAGCCTGGCCAACATGGTGAAACCCTGTCTCTATCAAAAATACAAAAAAAATTAGCCAAGCGTGGTGGTGGGCGCCTGTAGTCCCAGCTACTCGGGAGGCTGAGGCAGAAGAATGGCGCGAACCCAGGAGGCAGAGCTTGCAGTGAGCTGAGATCACACCACTGCACTCCAGCCTGGGCGAGACAGCGAGACTTTGTCTCGGAAAAAAAAATAAAAAAGAAAAAGTCTAGAACTTAAGTGATGAATATCAACTTAGAGAACAAAACCAAAGCCAAAGTTTTGAAGATAGGAAATAGTGTGATACTATCTTTTGTGGGGAAGGAACTATTGGCTTCTCCAAAAGTCAGAGAACTGGGAGAAAGCCTCATCCCAGAATCTGTGACAGGTTGGAACTGGAGGCTGAAATATGCTCAAAGGTCAAACATTCCTCCTCCCCTTCAAAGGAGACTGGAGTTTTGCAAAGTGAGCCCAGCGTGAATATTCACTCCGCCAGCCATCCACCCAGGAGATCCCTTTAAACCAGGAGCACACAGTGAGGATAGAAAACATGAACATGCACTAACAAGCCCTGAAAGTTCAGAGGGTGACTCTTGATTTCCCCTTGGCACACAGCAGAAGAACTGTTTCTCTAGGTTCCGGGAAATGCCTGTGCAGGAAGAGCTGTGTCCCCAGAGTCCCTTCATCACAGATGACGCAGTGCTCAGGCCAACACCCCTTATGCACAATCCTAGGAGTGCTGACTAATCCAAACCAAAGGTTCTGATGTTCCACAGGCAGAAAGAGCAGGTGGACTGCAAAGAGAATCTCTCATGAGCGGCAACCCCAAAGCCCATGGAGGCAGTTCCCCTAGCCACAGTGCCAGAAACTCTGGAAACAACAAGCCAGACCTCACACATATTTCCATTTTCTTTCGGATTTCATACCCCCCTCCTTCAGCCCCTCCTCACAAGCAGCAAAGGATAACCTGGAAGCTCCTGGGAACCTTTTCCCATTGGGTTTTTTTCTGGCACGTAGTTCCCTACCTGGATGAGTCTCCTCGTCACTTATATTCTCCAGCGTCAAGTCTTTAGAAAGAAAAACACCAGGATAAGTCATTAGAGAGAGTGACTCACCCGCTCCTCCTAAAGCTGAAACTGAATGATGGGCTTTTCTCCCACACGCTGCTTATACATGATCCCCTCATCTTTCTTCTGGAGTTGACAAACCTCCCTACAACTTCTCGGGCCAGGGATTCTATGACTGGAAAATTCACTTTCAGGAGAACCCAAGCCTCTTTCCCAGCAGGAACCGGAATCAGGTTTCCTTGAAGCTAGCAAGTTTCCCTCAGGAAGTGAGTTATTTCATAATTTATACCGTTTTCATTCAAAGCTGTTCCCTGCAAATTGTCGAAAACATACGTGAGAATCAGATTCTGCCTTCAACTTCCACACAGATCTGTTATTCTCTGGACAACGATAAAAAACCAGAAGGTGGTACAGTGATTGAACCATAGGTCAAAGTCCCCAAAGCCTAGCACAGAGGATAGCTATAGAAAAATAATACCTTAATTCACAGAATTTACCTTTAATTTTATATTCAAATGCACAATGCTTAATCCAAGGAGGAAAAGAGTGGTGTTGTGGAAAAATGCCTCAACATTCAGGCATACTGGATACTGTCATTGAAAAACACCTAACCCAGACCATGTATCAGTTAGGAAGACACGCCTACTAGTTCCCAGCCCCCACAAAGAGAATAGTGTACAGTGTACAGAATGTGCATTGCCAGATTTTCATATCCAAAATTAACTGAGAAGTCAAGCAATCAGAGGAAAGCAACATTGCTGTAAAAGACAAAAAAGGGAGTCTTACCTGGACATCACATTATTATCGGTAGCATCTTCTTTCTCTTCTTCTTCATCTTTGCGTTGTGGTGAGCCTCTTAAAAACAGGCCATCCTCAGGACAAACTGGAAGGACACAGAGGAAAGATCAGTGCACTGGTGGTTTGGTGACTGAGTCACTCAGGGCTTTGCTGGATGTGGTGTATGGAGGGTGTTGACAAGCATGAACTGACTTGATGCTGGGCTATTCCCCTGAGTGGGGAGAGGGATGGCAGAGAGGGGAGCAGGAAAGACCACGAGACATGAGGGCGTCGACCTTTCGTACTAGAAGGCATCAGGCAGCAACACAAAACAGACAACCCCAAATGGATCTAAAATGCATACTGAGGGTCAGTGGAAGAGTGCCTTTCTCCCGCTCAAATGTTTTGAAACTCTTCAAAACAAACAGCATTTTCTTAACGTATTCAAGACCACTTCAGTACACTAGGAGCCAATTATGCTGGTACTACATTTAGCATCTGTTTTAAAGGATTTATTACTTGATTAAAAGCCAATGTTATGGTGAAATGGACTCAATTTTACCCAAATTACTCTATTCTATTAATCACACATTCTTTTTCATAGAGATCATTTAAAACTTCAATGTTAAAGTGCTGCAATTAAAAATAGTCATGATTTCCTCTTTGTAAGTCTTCTTCTCAGAACCACTTCTACACACCCTTTTGGACCCCTGTGATCAGGCGCTCCAGCAGCTCCTGTGTGACTCTCCCTGAGGAGATTCCCTAAAAATCAGGCTTCATTCAAACAGGCCAATCTCACACAGCCTGCTCTACCTACACCAGTGAAGCTGAGAGACATGACTCTGAACACTTTCTGCCATGAGGATAAGCTTTCAGGTTCAAATACATATTATCTACTGAAATGAGGAAATGTATACCAGTAGAAATGAATGAATTCAGGAAAAAATGTTCATGAGTACGGGGGTGATTTTTGGTTAACTACCTTACGTAAAAATTATTTTTTTGGCTGAGCACTCTGGCTCACACCTGTAATTCCAGCACTTTGGGAGGCGGAGGTGGGCGGATGACCTGATGTCAAGAGTTCACGACCAGCCTGGCCAACATGGTGAAACCCTGTCTCTATCAAAAATACAAAAAAAAATTAGCCAGGCGTGGTGGTGGCGCCTGTAGTCCCAGCTACTCGGGAGGCTGAGGCAGAAAATGGCGCGAACCGGGAGGCAGAGGTTGCAGTGAGCTGAGATCACACCACTGCACTCCAGCTGGGCGAGACAATGGTTTTGTCTCAGGAAAAAAAAATAAAAAAGAAAAAAGTCTAGAACTTAAGTGATGAATATCAACTTAGAGAACAAAACCAAAGCCAAAGTTTTGAAGATAGGAAATAGTGTGATACTATCTTTTGTGGGAAGGAACTATTGGCTTCTCCAAAAATTAGAGAACTGGGGAGAGAGAAACCTCATCCCAGAATCTGTGACTGGGTTGGGGCTTTGGAGGCTGAAATATGCTCAAGGTCAAACATTCCTCCTCCCTTCAAAGGAGACTGGAGTTTTACCAGTGAGCCCAAGGCGTGAATATTCACTCCGCCATCCACCCCCAGGAGATCACTAAACCAGGGAGCACTTACAGTGAGGATAGAAAACATGAACTTGTGCATAACAAGCCCTGAAAGTTCAGAGGGTGACTCTTGATTTCCTTGGCACACAGCAGAAGAACTGTTTCTCTGGGTTCCAGGGAAATGCCTGTGAGAGAGCTGTGTCCCCCAGAGTCCCTTCATCACAGATGACACCCAGTGCTCAGGCCAACACCCTTGTGCACAATCCTAGGGTGCTGACTAATCCAAACCAAAGGTTCTGATGTTCCACAGGCAGAAAAGAGCAATTGGACTGCAAAGAGAATCTCTCATGACAGCAGCAGCTTCAGCCCATGGAGACAGTTCTTACCATGATGCCAAGAAACTCTGGAAACAACAAGCCAGACCTCCACATATTTCCATTTTCTTTCGGATTCATACCCCACTCCTTCAGCCCCTCCTCTCACAAGCAGCAAGGATAACCTGGAGCTCCTGGGAACCTTTCCCATTGGGTTTTCACAGCACGTAGTTCCCTACCTGGATGAGTCTCCTCGTCACTTATATTCTCCAGCCTCAAGTCTTTAGAAAGAAAAACACCAGGATAAGTCATTAGAGAGTGACTCACCGCTCCTCCTACTTTAGCTGAAACTGAATGATGACTTTTTCTCCCACCCACGCTGCTTCTTACATGATCCCTCATCTTTCTTCTGGGTTGTAAACCTCCCTACAGCTTCTCAAGACCAGAGTTCTATACTGGAAAATTCACTTTCAGGAGAACCCCAAACCTCTTTCAGCAGAACCGGAATCAGGTTTCCATACACGAAGCTGTTAAGTTTTCCCTCAGGAAGTGAGTTATTTCATGAGGTACATACGTTTTTCATTCAAGCTGTTCCCTGCAATTATATAAAAGAAAACATCGTGAGAATCAGATTCTGCTGTGCGCTTCACACAGATCTGTTATTCTCTGGACAACGATAAAAAACCAGAAGGTGGTACAGTGATTGAACCATAGAGTCAAAGTCCCCAAACTGGCACAGAGGATAGCTATAGAAAAATAATACCTTAATTCACAGAATTTACCTTTAATTTTATATTCAAATGCACAATGCTTAATCCAAGGAGGAAAAGTGGTATTGTGGAAAATGCCTCAGCATTCCAGGCATACTGGATGCTGTCATTGAAAAGCACCCTAGCAGACCATGTATCAGTTGGGAAGACACGCCTACTGAATTCCAGCCCCACAAAGAGAATAGTGTACAGTGTACAGAATGTGCATTGCCAGATTTTCATATCAAAAATTAACTTTGAGAAGTCAAGCAATCAGGAAAGCAACATTGCTGTAAAAAAGACAAAAGAGTCTTACAGGTATCATTCCATCATTAGCATCTTCTTTCTCTTCTTCTTCATCTTTGCGTTGTGGTGAGCCTCTTAAAAACAGGCCATCCTCAGGACAAACTGGAAGGACACAGAGGAAAGATCAGTGCACTGGTGGTTGGTGACTGAGTCACTCAGGGAGCTTTTACTTTGGATGTGGTGTATGGAGGTGGTTGAGAGACAAGCATGAACTGACTTGATGCTGGGCTATTTCCCCCTGAGTGGGAGAGGATGGCAGAGAAGGGGAGCAGGAAGAGACCACGAGACATGTGAGGGCGCGTCGGCCTCGTACTAGAGCATCAGGCAGCAACACAAAGCAGACAACCCCAAATGGATCTAAAATGCATACTGAGGGGTCAGTGGAAGAGTGCCTTTTCTCAGCTCAATGTTTGAAACTCTTCCAAAATAAACAGCATTTTCTTAAGTATTCAAGACCACTTCAGTACACTAGGCCAAATTATAACAATTTTCTGTTTTAGCATCTGTTTAAGATTTATTACTTGATTAAAAGCCAATGTTACATGGTGAAATGGACTCAACAGTACCACCCAAATTACTCTATTCTATTAATCACACATTCTTTTATAGAGATCATTTTAAACTTCAATGTTAAAAAAGTCTGCAATTAAAAATAGTCATGATTTCCTCTTTGTAAGTCTTCTTCTGGAACCACTTCTACACACCTTTTGGACCGTGATCAGGCGCTCCAGCAGCTCCTGTGTGACTCTCCTGAGGAGATTCCTAAAAATCAGGCTTCATTCAAACAGGCCAATCTCACACAGCCATGCTCACTACACCCAGTGAAGCTGAGAGACATGACTCTGAACACTTTCTGCCATGAGGATAAGCTTTCAGGTTCAAATACATATTATCTACTGAAATGAGGAAATGCATATACCAGTAGAAATGAATGAATTCAGGAAAAAACAGTATTGTGAGTACGGGGTGATTTTGGTTAACTACGCTACGTAAAAATTATTTTTTTGGCTGAGCACTCTGGCTCACACCTGTAATTCCAGCACTTTGGGAGGCTGAGGTGGGCGGATGACCTGATGTCAAGAGTTCACGACCAGCCTGGCCAACATGGTGAAACCCTGTCTCTATCAAAAATACAAAAAAATTAGCCAAGCGTGGTGGTGGGCGCCTGTAGTCCCAGCTACTCGGGAGGCTGAGGCAGAAGAATGGCGCGAACCAGGCAGAGCTTGCAGTGAGCTGAGATCACACCACTGCACTCCAGCCTGGGCGAGACAGCGAGACTTTTGTCTCAGGAAAAAAATAAAGAAAAAGTCTAGAACTTAAGTGATGAATATCAGCAGAGGAACAAAACCAAAGCCAAAGTTTTGAGAAGATAGGAAATAGTGTGATACTATCTTTGTGGGAAGGAACTATTGGCTTCTCCAAGAATTCAGAGAACTGGGGAGAAAACCTCATCCCAGAATCTGTGACACAGGTTGGAACTGGAGGCTGGAAATATGCTCAAGGTCAAACATTCCTCCTCCCCTTCAAAGGGAGACTGGGTTTTACCAGTGAGCCCAGCGTGAATATTCCTCGCCATCCACCAGGAGATCCCTTTAAACCAGGAGCACACAGTGAGGTGAAAAGCATGAACATGCACCTAACAGCCTGAAAGTTCAGAGGGTGACTCTTGATTTCCCCTTGGCACACAGCAGAAGAACTGTTTCTCTAGGTTCCAGGAAATGCCTGTGAGAGAGCTGTGTCCCCCAGAGTCCCTTCATCACAGATGACACCCAGTGCTCAGGCCAACACCCCTTGTGCACAATCCTAAGTGCTGACTAATCCAAACAAAGGTTCTGATGTTCCACAGGCAGAAAGAGCGAGGTGGACTGCAAAGAGAATCTCTCATGGGCAGCAGCAACCCCAAAGCCCATGGAGACAGTTCTTACCATGATGCCAAGAAACTCTGGAAACAACAAGCCAGACCTCACACATATTTCCATTTTCTTTCAGTTCATACCCCCTCCTTCAGCCCCTCCTCACAAGCAGCAAGGATAACCTGGAGGCTCCCATAGAACCTTTTCCCATGGGTTTTTCCTGTACGTAGTTCCCCTGCCTGGATAGGTCTCCTCGTCACTTATATTCTCCAGCGTCAAGTCTTTAGAAAGAAAAACACCAGGATAGTCATTAGAGAAGTGACTCACCCGGCTCCTCCTACTTTAGCTGAAACTGAATGATGGGCTTTTCTCCCACCCCACGCTGCTTCCTTTGTGATCCTATCTTTCTTCTGGGTTAACCAAGCCTCCTACAGCTTCTCGGGCCCAGAGTTCTATGCACAGGAAAATTCACTTTCCAGGAGAACCCCAAGCCTCTTTCCCAGCAGGAACCCGAGATCAGGTTTCCATACACGAGAAGCTAGCAAGTTTTTCCCTCAGGAAGTGAGTTATTTCATGGTACATACGTTTTTCAATTTCAAAGCTGTTCCCTGCAATTATATAAAAGAAAACATCGTGAAAAATCAGATTCTGCTGTGCGCTTCACACAGATCTGTTATTCTCTGGACAACGATAAAAAACCAGAAGGTGGTACAGTGGTGAACCATAGGTCAAAGTCCCCCAAAGCCTAGCACAGGATACTTATAGAAAAATAATACCTTAATTCACAGAATTTACCTTTAATTTATATTCAAATGCACAATGCTTAATCAAGGAGGAAGTGAGTGACGGCAGAATGCCTCAACATTCAGGCATACTGGATGCTGTCATTTGAAAAAACACCTAGCAGACCATGTATCAGTTGGGGAAGATACGCCTACTGAATTCCAGCCCCACAAAGAGAATAGTGTACAGTGTACAGAATGTGCATTGCCAGATTTTCATATCAAAGAGTGCTTGAGAAGTCAAGCAATCAGAAGCTTAACATTGCTGTAAAAGACAAAAAAGGGGAGTCTTACCTGGACATCATTATTATCATTAGCATCTTCTTTCTCTTCTTCTTCATCTTTGCGTTGTGGTGAGCCTCTTAAAAACAGGCCATCCCTCCAGGACAAACTGAAGGACACAGAGGAAAGATCAGTGCACAGTGGTTGGTGACTGAGTCACTCAGGGAGCTTTGCTGGATGTGGTGTATGGAGGTGGTTGACAAGCATGAACTGACTTGATGCTGGGCTATTCCCTGAGTGGGAGAGGGATGGCAGAGAAGGGGGAGCAGGAAAGACACGAGACATGGAGGGCGTCGGCCTGCGTGCTAGAAGGCATCAGGCAGCAACACAAAACAGACAATGGATCTAAAATGCATACTGAGGGTCAGTGGAAGAGTGCCTTTCTCCCGCTCAAATGTTTTCAAACTCTTCAAAACAAACAGCATTTTCTTAACGTATTCAAGACCACTTCAGTACACTAGGATCCAATTATGCTGGTACTACATTTAGCATCTGTTTTAAAGGATTTATTACTTGATTAAAAGCCAATGTTATGGTGAAATGGACTCAATTTTACCCAAATTACTCTATTCTATTAATCACACATTCTTTTTCATAGAGATCATTTAAAACTTCAATGTTAAAGTGCTGCAATTAAAAATAGTCATGATTTCCTCTTTGTAAGTCTTCTTCTGGAACCACTTCTACACACCCTTTTGGACCCCTGTGATCAGGCGCTCCAGCAGCTCCTGTGTGAGCTCTCCTGAGGGAGATTCCTAAAAATCAGCATTCATTCAAGCAGGCCAATGCAGCCTGCTCTACCTACACCAGTGAAGCTGAGAGACATGACTCTGAACACTTTCTGCCATGAGGATAAGCTTTCAGGTTCAAATACATATTATCTACTGAAATGAGGGAAATGTATACCAGTGAAATGAATGAATTCAGGAAAAAATGTTCATGGTCACCGGGGTGATTTTGGTTAACTACCTTACGTAAAAATTATTTTTTTGGCTGAGCACTCTGGCTCACACCTGTAATTCCAGCACTTTGGGAGGCGGAGGTGGGTGGATCACCTGATGTCGGGAGTTCAAGACCAGCCTGGCCAACATGGTGAAACCCTGTCTCTATAAAAATACAAAAAATTAGCCAGCGTGGTGGTGGGCGCCTGTAGTCCCAGCTACTCGGGAGGCTGAGGCAGAAAGAATGGCGCGAACCCGGGAGGCAAGGCTTGCAGTGAGCTGAGATCACACCACTGCACTCCAGCCTGGGCGAGACAGCGAGACTTGTCTCAGGAAAAAAATAAAAAAAAGAAAAAGTCTAGAACTTAAGTGATGAATATCCTTAGAGAACAAAACTACAAAAATAAAGTTTTGAAGATAGGAAATAGTGTGATACTATCTTTTGTGGAAGGAACTGTTAGCTTCTCCAAAAATTAGAGAACTGGGGAGAAAACCTCATCCCAGAATCTGTGACTGAGTTGGAACTGGAGGCTGGAAATATGCTCAAGGTCAAACATTCCTCCTCCCTTCAAAGGAGACTGGAGTTTTACCAGTGAGCCCAGCGTGAATATTCACTCCGCCATCCACCCCAGGAGATCCCTTTAAACCAGGAGCACACAGTGAGGATAGAAAACATGAACATGCACTAACAAGCCCTGAAAGTTCAGAGGGTGACTCTTGATTTATGGCACACAGCAGAAGAACTGTTTCTCTAGGTTCAGGAAATGCCTGTGAGAGAGCTGTGTCCCCAGAGTCCCCTTCATCACAGATGACACACCCAGTGCTCGAACCAGCCACCCCTTGTGCACAATCCCTAGGAGTGCTGACTAATCCCAAACCAAAGGTTCTGATGTTCCTGAGCAGAAAAGAGCAGGTGGACTGCAAGAAGAATCTCATGAACGCGGCAACCCCAAAGCCCATGGAGACAGTTCTTACCATGATGCCAAGAAACTCTGGAAACAACAAGCCAGACCTCACACATATTTCCATTTTCTTTCGGATTTCCTTACCCCTCCTTCAGCCCCTCCTCACAAGCAGCAAGGATAACCTGGAGGCTCTGGGAACCTTTTCCCATTGGGTTTTCCTGGCATGAATTCCCTACCTGGATGAGTCTCCTCGTCACTTATATTCTCCAGCCTCAAGTCTTTAGAAAGAAAAACACCAGGATAAGTCATTAGAGAGTGACTCACCCGCTCCTCTACTTTAGCTGAAACTGAATGATGGGCTTTTTCTCACCCCACGCTGCTTCATACAGCAATCCCCTCATCTTTCTTCTGGGTTGACAAACCTCCCTACAGCTTCTCGGGCCAGAGTTCCTATACTGGAAAATTCACTTTCAGAAGGAGAACCCCAAACCTCTTTCCCAGCAGAACCGGAATCAGGTTTCCATACACGAAGCTAGCAAGTTTTCCCTCGGGAAGTGAGTTATTTATGGTTATCTACAGTTTTTTCATTCAAGCAATTTGCAATTATATAAAAGCAACACTATCGTCAATCAGGAAGTGCTTGTTGATTCTTTTTTTTGCAATGCAGCAGCCTCAATTAAATAAGCAAAGTGGTGAGATTGTGGTTAAAACCACCGGTGCAAAATCCAAAACTAAGCACAGAATAATGATTAGAAAATAATACTTACTAATTAAATTTTTTTATTTGCCTTTAAATGCAATACTTTATCCAAGAGAAAATGTGATAATATCAGGTAATACCTCAGCATTAGGCATTACTGATCTTTTCCCATCCATTTAAAGCTTCTAGCGACCATATATCAGATGGGAGACTGCCACCTGAATTCCAGCCCCACAAAGAGAATAGTGTACAGTGTACAGAATGTGCATTGCCAGATTTTCATATCAAAATTAACTGAGAAGTCAAGCAATCAGGAAAGCAACATTGTAAAAGACAAAAAGAGGAGTCTTACCTGGACATCATTATTATCATTAGCATCTTCTTTCTCTTCTTCTTCATCTTTGCGTTGTGGTGAGCCTCTTAAAAACAGGCCATCCTCAGGACAAACTGGAAGGACACAGAGGAAAGATCAGTGCACTGGTGGTTGGTGACTGAGTCACTCAGGGAGCTTTGCTGGATGTGGTGTATGGAGGTGGTTGACAAGCATGAACTGACTTGATGCTGGGCTATTCCCCTGAGTGGGAGAGGGATGGCAGAGAAGGGGAGCAGGAAAGGCCACCGAGACATGAGCGTCGGCCTCGTACTAGAGGCATCAGGCAGCAACACAAAACAGACAACCCCAAATGGATCTAAAATGCATACTGAGGGTCAGTGGAAGAGTGCCTTTCTCCCGCTCCAAATGTTTTGAAACTCTTCAAAACAAACAGCATTTCTTAGCATTATTCAAGACCACTTCAGTACACAGAGCCAATTATGCTGGTACTACATTTAGCATCTGTTTTAAAGGATTTATTACTTGATTAAAAGCCAATGTTATGGTGAAATGGACTCAATTTTACCCAAATTACTCTATTCTATTAATCACACATTCTTTTCATAGAGATCATTTAAAACTTCAATGTTAAGAATGCTGCAATTAAAAATGATCATGATTTCCTCTTTGTAAGTCTTCTTCTGGAACCACTTCTACACACCCTTTTGGACCTTGATCAGGCGCTCAGCAGCTCCTGTGTGACTCTCCTGAGGAGATTCCTAAAAATCAGGCTTCATTCAAACAGGCCAATCTCACACAGCCTGCTCTACCTACCACCAGTGGCTGAGAGACATGACTCTGAACACTTTCTGCCATGAGGATAAGCTTTCAGGTTCAAATACATATTATCTACTGAAATGAAATGTATACCAGTAGAAATGAATGAATTCAGAAAAATGTTCATAGTACAGGGAGTGATTTTGGTTAACTACCTTACGTAAATTATTTTTGGCTGAGCACTCTGGCTCACACCTGTAATTCCAGCACTTTGGGAGGCGGTGGAGCGGATGACCTGATGTCAAGTTCGCGACCAGCCTGGCCAACATGGTGAAACCCTGTCTCTATCAAAAATACAAAAAAAATTAGCCAAGCGTGGTGGTGGGCGCCTGTAGTCCCAGCTACTCGGGAGGCTGAGGCAGAAAGAATGGCCGCGAACCCGGGAGGCAGAGCTTTGCAGTGAGCTGAGATCACACCACTGCACTCCAGCCTGGGCGAGACAAGCGAGACTTTGTCTCAGGAAAAAAAATAAAAAGAAAAGTCTAGGGCAAGTGATGAGATATCCAACTTAGAGAACAAAACCAAAGCCAAGTTTTGAAGATAGAAATAGTGTGATACTATCTTTTTGTGGAAGGAACTATTGGCTTCTCCCAAAAGAGGTGTTAGAGAACTGGGGAGAGAGAAACCTCATCTCAGAATCTGTGACTGAGTTGGAACTGGAGGCTGGAAATATGCTCAAGGTCAAACATTCTCACTCCCTTCAAGGAGACTGGAGTTTTACCAGTGAGCCCAGCGTGAGATATTGCTCCGCCATCCACCCCAGGAGATCCCTTTAAACCAGGGAGCACACAGTGAGGATAGAAAACATGAACATGCACCAACAAGCCCTGAAGTTCAGAGGTGACTCTTGATTTCCCCTTGGCACACAGCAGAAGAACTGTTTCTCTAGGTTCCAGGAAATGCCTGTGAGAGAGCTGTGTCCCCCAGAGTCCCTTCATCACAGATGACACCCAGTGCTCAGGCCAACACCCCTTGTGCACAATCCCTAGGAGTGCTGACTAATCCAAACCAAAGGTTCTGATGTTCCACAGGCAGAAAGAGCAGGTGGACTGCAAAGAGAATCTCTCATGAGCAGCGGCAACCCCAGCCCACGGAGACAGTTCTTCTGCAGTGCCAAGAAACTCTGGAAACAACAAGCCAGACCTCACACATATTTCCATTTTCTTTGGATTCATACCCCCTCCCCAGCCCCTCCTCACAAGCAGCAAGGATAACCTGGAGGCTCCTGGGAACCTTTTCCCATTGGGTTTTCCTGTACGTAGTTCCCTACCTGGATGAGTCTCCTCGTCACTTATATTCTCAGCCTCAAGTCTTTGAAGAAGCAAAACTGAGATAGCATTAGAGGCTGACTCTTGCTCACCTCTCTCTTTAGCAATAGGCGTAAGCTTCTTCCACCATTACCATTTTAGTCCTCTACATCACCTTACAGGTTAAACTCCTCTTCATTTCTCGGCAGAAGTTTATATGAAATTCACTCAGAGGACCAAACCTGCTTAGTGGCAGAACCGAATCATTTCCCTTTTTAACCGTAAGTTTTTCCCTCAGAAATGGATTCATGGTACATACCGTTTTCATTCAAAGCTGTTCCCTGCAATTATATAGAAACATCGTGAGAATCAGATTCTGCTGTGCGCTTCACACAGATCTGTTATTCTCCTGGACAACGATAAAAAACAGGAAAGGTGGTACAGTGATTGAACCATAGGTCAAAGTCCCCAAAGCCTAGCACAGAGGATGGCTATAGAGAAAAATAATACCTTAATTCACAGAATTTACCTTTAATTTTATATTCAAATGCACAATGCTTAATCCAAGGAGGAAAAGTGGTATTGTGGAAAATGCCTCAGCATTCCAGGCATACTGGATGCTGTCATTGAAAAGCACCCTAGCAGACCATGTATCAGTTGGGAAGACACGCCTACTGAATTCCAGCCCCACAAAGAGAATAGTGTACAGTGTACAGAATGTGCATTGCCAGATTTTCATATCAAATTAACTGAGAAGTCAAGCAATCAGGGGAAAGCTTAACATTGCTGTGTAAAAAGACAAAAAAGGGGAGTCTTACCTGGACATCATTATTATCATTAGCATCTTCTTTCTCTTCTTCTTCATCTTTGCGTTGTGGTGAGCCTCTTAAAAACAGGCCATCCTCAGGACAAACTGGAAGGGCTGAGAGGAAAGGTCAGTGCACTGGTGGTTGGTGACTGAGTCACTCAGGGAGCTTTGCTGGATGTGGTGTATGGAGGTGGTTGACAAGCATGAACTGACTTGATGCTGGGCTATTCCCTGAGTGGGAGAGGGATGGCAGAGGGGAGCAGGAAAGACCGCGAGACATGAGAGCGTCGGCCTCGTACTGAGAACATCAGGCAGCAACACAAAACAGACAACCCCAAATGGATCTAAAATGCATACTGAGGGTCAGTGGAAGAGTGCCTTTCTCGCTCAAATGTTTTGAAACTCTTCCAAAACAAGCAGCATTTTCTTAACGTATTCAAGACCACTTCAGTACACTAGGATCCAATTATGCTGGTACTACATTTAGCATCTGTTTTAAAGGATTTATTACTTGATTAAAAGCCAATGTTATGGTGAAATGGACTCAATTTTACCCAAATTACTCTATTCTATTAATCACACATTCTTTTTCATAGAGATCATTTAAAACTTCAATGTTAAAGTGCTGCAATTAAAAATAGTCATGATTTCCTCTTTGTAAGTCTTCTTCTGGAACCACTTCTACACACCCTTTTGGACCCCTGTGATCAGGCGCTCCAGCAGCTCCTGTGTGACTCTCCCTAGGAGATTCCTAAATCAGGCTTCATTCAAACAGGCCAATCTCACACAGCCTGCTCTACCTACACCAGTGAAGCTGGGGAACGCTGACTCTGAACACTTTCTGCCATGAGGATAAGCTTTCAGGTTCAAATACATATTATCTACTGAAATGAGGAAATGTATACCAGTAGAAATGAATGAATTCAGGAAAAAATGTTCTGTGAGTACGGGGTGATTTTGATTAACTGCCTTACGTAAAAATTATTTTTTTGGCTGAGCACTCTGGCTCACACCTGTAATTCCAGCACTTTGGGACGGAGGTGGGCGGATGACCTGATGTCAGAGTTCACGACCAGCCTGGCCAACCTTGGTGAAACCCTGTCTCTATCAAAAATACAAAAAAATTAGCCAAGCGTGGTGGTGGGCGCCTGTAGTCCCAGCTACTCGGAGGCTGAGGCAGAATGGCGTGAACCCGGGAGGCAGAGCTTGCAGTGAGCTGAGATCACCTGCCACTGCACTCCAGCCTGGGCGAGACAGCGGGAACTTTGTCTCAGAAAAAATAAAAAAAAGAAAAGTCTAGAACTTAAGTGATGAATATCAACTTAGAGAACAAAACCAAAGCCAAAGTTTTGAAGATAGGAAATAGTGTGATACTATCTTTTGTGGGAAGGAACTATTGGCTTCTCCAAAAATTAGAGAACTGGGGAGAGAGAAACCTCATCTCAGAATCTGTGACTGGGTTGGAACTGGAGGCTGGAAATATGCTCAGGTCAAACATTCCTCCTCCCTTCAAAGGAGGCTGGAGTTTACCAGTGAGCCCAGTAGTGAATATTCACTCCGCCATCCACCCCAAGTCCCTTTAAACCAGGAGCACACAGTGAGGATAGAAACATGAACATGCACTAACAAGCCCTGAAAGTTCGGAGGGTGACTCTTGATTTCCCCTTGGCACACAGCAGAAGAACTGTTTCTCTAGGTTCAGGAAATGCCTGTGAGGGAGAGCTGTGTCCCCAGAGAGTCCCTTCATCACAGATGACACCCAGTGCTCAGGCCAACACCCCTTGTGCACAATCCCTAGGAGTGCTGACTAATCCAAACCAAAGGTTCTGATGTTCTGAGCGAAAGAGCAGGTGGACTGCAGACAATCTCTCATGGTGACAGCCCCAAAGCCCATGGAGACAGTTCTTACCATGATGCCAAGAAACTCTGGAAACAACAAGCCAGACCTCACACATATTTCCATTTTCTTCCCGGATTCATACCCCCTCCTTCAGCCCCTCCTCACAAGCAGCAAGGATAACCTGGAGGCTCCTGGGAACCTTTTCCCATTGGGTTTTTTTCCTGTACGTAGTTCCCTACCTGGATGGATCTCCTCGTCACTTATATTCTCCAAGCGTCAAGTCTTTGAAAAAAACACCAGGGATAAGTCATTAGAGAGTGACTCACCGCTCCTCCCTACTTTAACAGGCTTGAATGATGGGCTTTTCTCCCACCTCACGCTGCTTCAGCCACACCCAGTCCTCATCTTTCTTCTGGGTTGACAAACCTCCCTACAGCTTCTCGGGCCAGAGTTCTATACTGGAAAAATCACTTTCAGGAGAACCCCAAGCCTCTTTCCCAGCAGGAACCCAGAATCAGGTTTCCATACGGCTTCAGCAAGTTTTTCCCTCAGGAGAGTGATTATTTCATGGTACATACCGTTTTCCATTCAAAGCTGTTCCCTGCAATTATATAAAAGAAAAACATCGTGAGAATCAGATTCTGCTGTGCAGCCACACAGATCTATTTATTCTCTGGACAACGATAAAAAACCAGAAGGTGGTACAGTGATTGAACCATAGGTCAAAGTCCCCAAAGCCTAGCACAGAGGATACTTGTAAACAATACCTTAATTCACAGAATTTACCTTTAATTTTATATTCAAATGCACAATGCTTAATCCAAGGAGGAAAAGTGGTATTGTGGAAAATGCCTCAGCATTCCAGGCATACTGGATACTGTCATTGAAAAAACACCTAGCAGACCATGTATCAGTTGGGAGAAGACACGCCTGCTGAATTCCAGCCCCACAAAGAGAATAGTGTACAGTGTACAGAATGTGCATTGCCAGATTTTCATATCAAAATTAACTGAGAAGTCAAGCAATCAGGAAAGCAACATTGCTGTAAAAGACAAAAAAGGGGAGTCTTACCTGGACATCATTATTATCATTAGCATCTTCTTTCTCTTCTTCTTCATCTTTGCGTTGTGGTGAGCCTCTTAAAAACAGGCCATCCTCAGGACAAGCTGGAAGGACACAGAGGAAAGATCAGTGCACTGGTGGTTGGTGACTGAGTCACTCAGGGAGCTTTGCTGGATGTGGTGTATGGAGGTGGTTGACAAGCATGAACTGACTTGATGCTGGGCTATTCCTGAGTGGGAGAGGATGGCAGAGAGGAGCAGGAAGGGCACTTGAGACATGAGGCGTCGGCCTCGTGCCTTTAGAGGCATCAGGCAGCAACACAAAACAGACAACCCCAAATGGATCTAAGGAAATGCATACTGAAGGGTCAGTGGAAGAGTGCCTTTCTCCCGCTCAAATGTTTTGAAACTCTTCAAAACAAACAGCATTTCTTAACGTATTCAAGACCACTTCAGTACTAGGATCCAATTATGCTGTGCTACATTTTAGCATCTGTTTTAAAGGATTTATTACTTGATTAAAAGCCAATGTTATGGTGAAATGGACTCAATTTTACCCAATTACTCCTATTCTATTAGTCACACATTTCCTTTCCTTAGAGATCATTTAAAACTTCAATGTTAAAGTGCTGCAATTAAAAATAGTCATGATTTCCTCTTTGTAAGTCTTCTTCTGGAACCACTTCTACACACCCTTTTGGACCCCCTGTGATCAGAGCGCTCCAGCAGCTCATGACTCTCCCTGGGGAGATTCTAAAAATCCAGGCTTCATTCAAACAGGCCAATCTCACACAGCCTGCTCTACCTACACCAGTGAAGCTGAGAGACATGACTCTGAACACTTTCTGCCATGAGGATAAGCTTTCAGGTTCAAATACATATTATCTACTGAAATGAGGAAATGTATACCAGTAGAAATGAATGAATTCAGGAAAAAAATGTTCATGAGAGTACGAGGGTGATTTTGGTTAACTACCTTACGTAAAAATTATTTTTTTGGCTGAGCACTCTGGCTCACACCTGTAATTCCAGCACTTTGGGAGGCGGAGGTGGGCGGATGACCTGATGTCAAGAGTTCACGACCAGCCTGGCCAACATGGTGAAACCCTGTCTCTATCAAAAATACAAAAAAATTAGCCAAGCGTGGTGGTGGCGCCTGTAGTCCCAGCTACTCGGGAGGCTGAGGCAGAAGAATGGCGCGAACCCGGGAGGCAGAGCTTGCAGTGAGCTGAGATCACACCACTGCACTCCAGCCTGGGCGAGACAGCGAGACTTTGTCTCAGGAAAAAAAAATAAAAAAAGAAAAAGTCTAGAACTTAAGTGATGAATATCAGCCCAGAGAACAA